CCCCAAAACCCCAAAACCCCAAAACCCCAAAACCCCAAAAGCCTAGTTTTGGTTGGAAAACTAAGTTTTCTATTAAAGCTCCTAATTTGGATGCTTAAAGTCCTTTGGGATATTTTTAGGGAGCTGAAAACAGCTTTTCAAATCGAGTCACCATTTCGTTAACTGTGAAACCATATGATCGCTCTTAAAAGTTGTGATGGCTACCGCCTTGATATATAATGTTAATTGAGTTTACAGAAACGGATTGTTATAGGCACAAATTACAAGCACATCTTGTGTGAGATCTGTCATATTTAGGAGGGCATCACTTTGGCTGTGGGTTATGATTGGGCATGAGGATTCTAAGCCATCTACAATATTTTCTGTTGAATGCATTAGAGCCATTCACAACCTTGAAATAATCTAAATATCGGTCTGGCTCAGGCCTAAAGAGCCGTTGAAGAAGTCCAAGCCAGATTTTCCATGCTTTCATTATCGATTGAATCCTCCAACCTGGGTATTTAAGGTGAGATAATTGAGGTTTTAAACAGGCATGAACACAAGATTGTTAAGGTTTATAAGAAACCAGATTCTAAATCCATGGACAAGTAAGAGCACATATAAATCATGAATGGGCAAAGACTCGTTATAAGGTGTCTACCTTGTTTGATAAGCACGGCATTGTATCCCCAGAGTGTGCTCTCTTTTGGCTATTTCTCTGGAGAAACCATCACTGGGTTATAAATTCTATGAGAGATATTTTAGTAAGTTCTCTCAAACCCTAGTCCTTGTTGAGTGATATAATACTGTAAGAACACTCAGATGTGGTGTTTAAGATGCAATGTAATGATTTTCAAAGTAAAATACTAGGTCTTTTCGGTGGTTTTAGACCTTAAAGTCTCCAGCATTCTTTCGAATCTTAAAGGAACAAGCAGTGGCTATCTCAAAATCTGTAGTTACAATGTCTGAGCTGATTAACTATGCTTTAAATTCTCAGAGTAAAGCCATGAATGAGCTTAAACAAAATAGATGTATTCGTTTCAATCTGCAAAACCCAGCTTTAAACTATAAGGGTGCTCACCAAGATTGGGTATCTGAACTAAAGTCTTTTTGGCTTAATCTGTGAGGCTTAGTTGAGGCCAAGGAATTTGAAAATAACTGAAAATATGTCTAGGGCTAACCAGCAAGGCCTCCTTGGCAAAGGTTCCTGTATCTATCTTGGAAATTTACGATATCAGATTCTTAGCTCAGAGGGAAACATCGTACAGCCTAATCGCCTCTTGCAGCTAGATTTTGCGGTCAAGCATGGCAAAGAATTGTTATTGAGCCAGAATATTACTTGAAGAGTTAATGATTTTGGGGTTTTGGGGTTTTGGGGTTTTGGGGTTTTGGGG